CACACACACACACACACACTCTCTCTCTCTCTCACACTCGCGCACACACACACACACACACACACACACACTCGCGCACACTCACACAGACACACACACGTACGTGTTTGACTAGGATATGAACTGTTTTCAGACACGCACTCAAACTCAGGCAGGCAGACAGACAGAATAAATGCTAGCGGTGTACAAATATGCTCACATACGTTCCCGGGAGTTGATTCAGAAAAGAAAAGTTCTCTGAGTTTCCTGTTGAAATTTTGATCAAGGTGTTTCAACGGCAGGAATACAGTACATCAGTGTAACCATGGCAACGTCTCCAGCAGCTCTCTTTATAAACTGACTTCTGAGAGCTCATAGATGTGTGTGTGTGTGTGTCACTTCAGGCTCGACTGTGACTGACATGCACAGTGTGAGAGAATGAATAGATATTTTAGACATTTCGAAAAGGAAAGGCTCTATAATTCAGCTGATTTACAAAAACAGTGTGTGCTTTTATTATAGAGGCTCTGTTTACAAACCTAGCAAGCTGACTACCTAGATGGTATTTTAAGGCACTATAGACGGTCTCCCGATGGTGTTCTGAAAGGTGTACGGCATAATTATTATGCTGGGTGACAAAAATCAAGGCATAGTTACTATGTTTTGGCTTTGTAGCACTATATGCTGCTTAAGTGTCTTCTGCTCACCAAGGCTGTATTTATTTAATAAAAAATACAATAAAAACAGCTAAATATTATTAGAATTTAAAACAGCTGTTTTCTATGTGAATATCTGTTAAACTGTAATGTATTTCTGTGATGCGCAGCTGTATTTTCAGCATCATTACTCCAGTCTTCAGTGTCACATGATCTTCAGAAATCAGTATAATATGCTGATCTGCTGCTCGAGAAACATTTCTGATTATTATTAATGTTGAAAACAGTCGTGCTGCACAATATTTTTGTGGAAACTATGATACATTTTATGTTTCAGGATTCACAGATGAATAGAAAGTTCAAAAGAACAGCATTCATTAGAAATAGAAAAACAGAAGTTGAGGTGGCTTTGTTTCTCCAGACCGCTGGAGTTTGAAGGAACACAAGCTTCTGCACTGATTCATATTTCATCTGCTCGTTGAAGATTTAGGTCAATATTCAGCATCAGAGAAACGTCATTAAAATTCACAGACGGCAAAGAGGGATTTTAAGAGACGAGGAGAGGTGTGTCGTTTAAAAGAACATGAGGAGAAACCCACAGATGAAGATACTAAAAAAAAACTAGTTTTTTGGGTTGAATCTCACAAGAGAA